ATACCTGTTATCCCAATACTCTGGGAGGCTCTAGTAGGAGGCTTGCAAGTTTGAGCCTAGCCTAGCCAATTTAGGGACTTAGACTCTGTCTCATAATAAAAATATGATTTAAAAAAGAGCTGGAATGTAGCTCAGTGTGAAGGTCTTGGCTTTAATTCCCATGCTGGGAAAAAAGTCATCTGTGGATGTAATTATTAAATACAAACTCAATACATAATTATTAAGTACAAGCAAAATTACTATTCTCTGTACTAGTCTGCTAGCTGATATCTGCAGAATGATGAGAAAACTATAATATTATTAGTTAAAAATGTAACATTGCTTTTCAGGTATAGTTAGATTCTTTAAAAGCATGGGTTTATTGTTTAAAAAATTTTCTATTTTCTTAATTTGACTTAAATTGTAATGTTATTGAAATTTAAGCTCATATTTTAGTCAAAATTGAGCCCTTGAAAGAGAATTGCTTAAATAGGAATTTAATTGACATTTTAAGCTTACTCCAAGTGTGAAGTTTGTCTGGTCTCTATATTTAATGTTGCTATAAACTTTTATTCCTTGATTTGAGGGGGTCTTAGTCTCAGTTAGCATGACATTTAATAGAAAGAACATATATTTTGGAGGTAGTTTGAACTGGGTTTTAATCCCAGCCCTATCTCATAATTATGTGACCTTTAGTGATATTATTCCTCTGAATCTGTTTGTTCATTTGCTAACAGTTTTTATTGATGCAGAGATTTCCATGAGTTTTAAAGATAGCATGTTTCAAAATAATAGAGAATGGAAAAATACAACCAATGAAAATAATTGAGGTGAATACAATGATATCAGACAAAATAGATTTTGGAAATAAAATGTTGCTAGAGCTGAAGAGGGCTATCTTAGTCACCCACTAGGAAGAGCTAACAATTATAAACATACATACACTTACGAAGAGAGGTCCCAGATATGTGAAGCAAAATCTGATATAAATCATGGAAAAATAGGCAATAATATTTGAGGACTTCAGTATCCCACTTTCTTTGTTACTTTTCTCTTGTTGCTGAGGCAAAATATCTGATACCCAAGGTTAAAGAGGTAAAGGTTCATTTATCTTACAATTTGTAGAGGTTTCAGTCTGGCTGGCTCCAAGGCAGGGTGGATGGCAGACAGGCGTTGCAGAGGAGAAACAGTTTATGGCAGGCAGAAGGTAGGAAAGCAAGCAAGGGTTGACCACAGTTCTTTCTATCCCTTATAGCTATCCAGGCTACTTAGGGTAGGTAGCACTCACACCCTTAATCCTAGTGCCCTTGATCCTCTCATTGCACCATGAATCAGTTCCAGTGTCACTCTAGAACTGGCCACCTCTGAAAAAGCCTCACCTATGACTGCGTGAGGCATTTGGGGGACATCTAGACACAAGTCATATCTTCCACTTTCAGTAGTTGGGAGAATTAAGTAGGAAGAATATCAGCAAACAAATAGAAGATTTAACAATACTATAAACAAACTAGACCTTACATATAGCTATAGAACACCACACTCATCAGTAGCAGAGTATACATTTTTTCTCAAGAGCACATGAAACGTTTCTTGTGGCTAGACATTCTAGGTTGTAAAATAAGCTTCAGTAAATTTAAAAGAAGTAAAATCATACAAAGTATCTTCTCTGACCACAGTGGAATTAAATTAGCATTCAATAGGGAAAAAATTTTTAAAAAATATGAATATCAGTAAATGTACTTCTAAAGAAATCATAAAGGAATTAGAAAACACCGAGATGAATGAAAATGAGAACAGAACACACCAAACTTTATGAGATGCAACTAATAACGGTGCTTAAGAGGGAAATTGATAGTTGTAATCAATCACCTACATTTAAGAAAAAAATACCCTCAAATTAATAACCTAACATTTCATCTTCAGAAACTTGAAAAAAAACTAAACCCCAAACAAATCGATTAAAAACAATAAAGATGAAACAAGAATCTGAGTGTGATGGGACAGCCTGTAATCCCAGCACTTTGAGAGGCTGAAGCAGGAGTACCACAAGTTTGAGCCAGCCTTGGCAATTTAACAAAATCCCTGTCACCAGCCAGCCAAAGAACAACAACATAAGAAATAGAGAATTAAAAAAAAAGAGTGAATAGTTTTATACTCTAACAAAATTAGGAAATCAATGAAACCAAAACTTAGTTCTTTGAAAAGATAACTAATTTGATAATACTTAGGTAGACTAATCAAGAAAAAGAATTCAAATTATTGAAATCATGAATGGAAGATGGAATATGACTTGACTGTACAGAATTATATAAGAATGCTATGGATAATTGTATACTAACAGGTTAGATTATTTAGATGAAATGGACAAATTTCTAAAAAGATAAACTACCAAAGTTAATTGAGAAGAAATAGAAGATCAAGTAAAGGCACTGAATTAGAAAGAAAAGCATAGGCCTAGGTTACTTCACGATATATTCTACTTGCTATATAAGAGAAGTTGATAAGAATTTTTCACAAATTCCTTCAGAAAAGAAGAGAAGATAACACTTCACATTTCATTCTATAATGTTGTTAATATTACCCTGACTCCAAAACCAAAACATGTCTGTGTTGGTGGTATAGTGGTAAGCATAACTGCCTTCCAAGACCCAATATACTACAAAAACAAAACAAAACACAAAAAAACCTCAAACTGCAGACCAGTGTATCCCTTTCGAATACAGATGCAAAACTTCTTGACATACTAGCAAAGTGAACTTTTAGTAAGATATAAAAACATAATCAAGTAGAATTTATCCTAGCATTGTAAGACTGCCATAATGACAATATAATTTAGAGACCTTTCCATATTTGTACACGACAAAGAGCTTCCTCCAGCCTGTTGGTGGCACAAGACTGTAATTCCATCTTAGGAGGCTGAAAAAGGCAGATAGCAAATTTGAGGCAGTTTAATGAGACACTGTCTCAAAAAGAAAAAAAGGCTGGGATGTACTTCTGTCAATCCTCAGTACTAAAACAACAAAACAGAACAGAACACACAACCCAAAACTTCCATTTCCCATTTAAAGTCTGTGTGTTGAAGAATCCTAGTTGGTTTAACAGTCTTCAGTTGATAATGTGTACTTTTACTTATAGTTTTAGATACCAGGTATTGTGTTATACACTAGTGAGGATAAAATTTTTTTCCCTCCTCTCAGGGAGCTTAGTTTCTTTGAAGTAGACGCAGTGATGAAAGATCTCAAAAGCAGAGTGCCCAAAGGAATTGATTATAGTTAGGGATGTGAGGGTTTAGTACCATCTGTGCTTTCAGGCATCCCCTGAGGATCTTGGAACATTTCTGTGTGGATCAGGGGGCACTGCTGGTGTTTAAAGGATGCAGTTTTGTAACATCTTTCTCCCATTTCTTCTGTATCTGTAAGTTAATCTATCTCCTCAGCTTTTAAACAAGCTTAGGTTGCTCACATATTAAAAAAATCCAACTTCTTCTGACCTCTATCTCTTTTCCAACTACTGCTCCTTTATCTCTTCTTCCCTTCTTACCAAGCAAAGATCATCTGAACTTTAGGTATCCATTTGCTCGTCTTTCACTTGGTTAGGGAGGAAAAAAAAAGGTTTACTTTCTCATCCCTTTCCAGTTTGGGCTATAACTGTACTACAGTGAAGCATCTCATCAGTGTTACCTTTCATGCCTAGGGAACACTTTTTAGTAATCAATTTTCTCGCTCTTTCTGTGACTTTGGATATAGCCAACAACTCCTGCTTAAAATGTTCTCATATCAGCTTTTCATTACATCTTACTCTTCTGTTTTTCTCCTTTTTTTGGTCTTAAGTGATTTCTTTTTTAAAGAAATTCTGGAGTTCCTAAGACTTTGTCTTAGACTGTTTTCTGTTCCCTTCAAACACTCTTAAAAGAGATTTAGGCAGTATCTATAGATCATTCCTGGACCTGACTTTTCTTCTGGGTTTGCAGCAGTATGTTCAGCTACCTGCCATATTTTTCTATTTTGTTATTTTCTCTTTCTAGTATTTATTTAGGATCTGATATTTAGAAGATGTTTTGCCTGTCCTAGGAATATCTTATGCATCTTCAGTGGAATATGACCAAAATAGAATTCATGACTCGTGTTTTCTGCTAAAATTAAGCAAGCAAGTGAAATAAAGTAACGAAGTAAGACTTTCTGTACCTCTGTACTTACTCAGCTGCTGAAATCTACCTACTTCCTTTAGTTTGAAGCCATGGGATGACTCTTGACTCTTCCCTTTATTTGAACACTTTCCTGTCACCATCCAATCCAGTCAAATCCAGTTAATGTAGTGTAACTCAGTGCAATGTTATCAAGGTCTGTGGCCTTCTACCTTCAGAGTTTCTTTTCCCCTTTTCACTGCTAATGCCCAAGACTGAACTACCATCAATTGACTTTTGCACTTGCTTCTAATTGGTCCTAACTGTATTCACTTTGGGCTGCCATCTGGCCATTTGCCGCATGACTGCAAGCATGAGGTTTTTTTTTTTTTTTTTTTTTGGTACTGGGGATCGAACTCGGGACCTTACAAGGCGGGCAGCAGAACCACTGAGCTAAATCCCCGACCCAACGTGAGTTTTTTTTTTTTTTGATACTGGGGATTGAACTCGGGTCCTTGCGCTTGCACAGCAGGTGGCAAAACCACTGAGCTGAATCCCCAGCCCTCCAACATGAGTTTTTAAAGTGTTCCTAAATTCATCTGTCTTTGTTTTCTTGTCTGAAAACTTCTTATCTTTTTATCAGAGTTATTGTGAGGCTAAAAAATTACTAAGTGTAGAATACTTAGAATAGTGCATGGCACTCCATCCTTAGTAAATTAGATCCCAGTATTACATTAAGCCAAGTAAAAGATATGATTAAGGCAGAGGATTTATTAATAGTAGATTTGAATGGAGTAATTAATATCTCATTTATATTTAATTGTGCTATATATGTTTATGCTAAAATCTTCAGCCTTTATAATATGTGACCTTCTTATGTGTAATTTTTTTCTTAAAGGCTAAGAAGCACCAGGCCTTCCTAGTAGAGACATGTGAAAATAATGTGAAAGAATTAGAATCGATCTTGGACAGCTTTACTGTGTCGGGCCAGTGGACATCAGGTTCGTTGAAGGTATAAAATGACAGATGCATCTGTCAATGTTCCAAAGTCACTACATTTTGGGAATTCTGCAGATGCCTCTTATAGTCCCTCATCTCAACATGTTTTGATTTGATGACATGATAAGAGCAGATCTCACAGCAGTCAGTTGGCCTAGCTGGCTGAGAAAGGGTGACGGAGTGTGGACCTGCTGTTGTCCTCCCAGAACTTGATTTACAAGTGTTGGATCCGTGTGATTGGACAGACAAGGGCTCACTGGCTGTGTTCTGAATCCAACTGAGAAAAAAGTCCTTACAGTATACCTGCAAGGGGAACAGATGTTTCCATCAAACTGAGCCAAATTCTGAGGCAACCTTCAGCAACTTAAAGGTCATGCATTCAAAAGGTTATGTAGGACACAGGCTATAACACAGTGCATATTCTATACTGTTGCTTTCTAAGCTGGTTTTCACCTGCATTTCCTGCTACCACCTACAAATACAGTATCTAGTTAAGAGTGCTTAGATAAAATATTTTGGTTTTAGTATTAGTCCATGTAATATGATTATGAACTATACAAGTCTTATATTAGGTGGAAATATTTTGGGGTCTAGCAAAAACAGCTGGCAAATGAATTATGTTTGCTGTTTCTATTTTCATATATTTTGTGTTTATGCCATTATATGCTACACTTACATATTTTTACTTTTTTTACCTCAGTTTTCTTTTGCCATATTGTTATCCTTGTATCTACAGATTTCTCAGTTGGTGAACTAGTAGAAATTTGTTGTGCTTTGCTATTATTGGTTTTAGTCTGCTTTTATTCTTCATGTTTTTAGCTATATTTTTTTGAATTAATGTGTAACTTTCTGTGTTTTTATTTAAACATTTCTCCAAGGCATTAGTGTTTTATAGTTTGTTACTATGGAAAAATCAAATATATAAAAGTGACAAAAATATATGTACCCAGGTTTCAATTGCTTTTTATTTATTTATATTTTTGGTGATGGAGTCTTGCTCTGTTGCCTAGGCTGGCCTTGTAGTATTCCTGCCTTTCCTTCCCAAGTAGCTGGGAATATTCTAGGTATGTGCCATCATGCCTAGCTTTTGATTATATATTATAAAACTTTGGAGGAGAGCGTTATTTTTGAATTCATACTCTTTTATTATTGAAATATATTTGAATGTTTGAATTTTAGTGTTTGAATTTTAAAATTAAATAATTGATAGCAAGAGTCATTCACGAGTTAGTACAAATTTATAGAAAAAAATTCTTTTACTAAAGTTTTTCTTTTATCTTTTGGTAACCATCCTTTTTAACGTCCTAGTTTCTTATGTACATGGGCACCCTAAATATTACAAAGAATATGTTCTTGGAAAAGGATTGTGCACTGAGTTATGGTTTTTGGATTGTTATAGAGGGGTCTTTTCTACTTTTGTGCTGGTTACTCATTCTTACCCTCCCAGAACCAGTCTCCTCTGGTGTCTGTTTTGCCTTGACCTTGTGAGGCTGGTGTTTATGGATCTAGGGTCCTTGGCCCCTGGTTTCTGATTGAGTTTGGACAGTGGTTGTATTAGAGGAAATTAAGATGGTGGGAGAAGAAAGAAAGTAGGATGTTTATTTCCTCTGGTCCTTGTGTGCTAGTGCATTCCTGGAAGTAACTTCATTTTTCAGTAGTTGCAGCTTCTATCAGGTAGGCCTTCTTTCATAGATGTGGCTTTTATTAGACTGTGGTGACAACATTCCTTCCTGTTGACACTTCAAGGTTACCCATGGTATTTGTTTTACACTCTTCCCTGTTTTTCATTTTACTGATTTTTGAACTGTCCACAGTTTTGTAAATAGTCTATTATATTCTCTTCTCATGAACTGTTCTGAGTGTATCATCCTGCTGATTCACATGCCAGTTTGAGACCTGATTTCATTCCTGCTTTTGTTTCTGCTTCTCCTCTTCCTCCTCCTCCTTTTCTTTTCATGGTGTTAGAAATTGAACCTAAGGAGTTGCAACCATATTTAGGCAAGCACTCTATTACTAAACTAAATCCCCAGCCCTTCTACTCTTGCTTCCATGAATAGACATATCACTGTAATGGACCCTTTCTGCCTACATGGGCTCAGGTTGAATTCTTATTTATTTATTTATTTTTTTGGTACTGGGGATTGAACTTGGGACCCTGTGCTTGTGAGGCAGGCAGCAGAACCACTGAGCTAAATCCCTGGCCCGAATTCTTGTTATTTAATTAAGAGGACTATAACTAATAAATTCTACTAATTAATATTTTATTGAAGAACCTGATTAATTAAAAAAATTGTCCTATACTAATTCAGGGATATATGTCTAACATACATAAAACACACACACACACACACACACACACACACATATATATCATGGTATATATGTATTTGGAGAGAAAATCTACTTCAAATGAAACATTTTTATTTTATGATGAAAAAATTTGTAACAAAATTAATTCAGCTATCTTGGGAAGAGTTTTTCTAGAAATCCTCTGCTTTGTAGTTATGCAAATAGGTAATGGTTCTTTACCCACTTTTATTACCTCTGCATAACCTTTGAATTCAATGTATACTGTCTCTGCATCTAGCCACTATTTCAAGAAAAGTAATCCATGGTTGAAATTTAGAACAGGTACAGATTTCTTTTTTCTGGACTTGCTGTTTAAAATGCAGTGAATGAAAATTATTTTCTTAAATTAATCTTAGTCCAGAGTTGACAGTAGTTGCCAGGTGTTCTGTTATCTGTCCTCAGATTTTGCCGTCTTCTACAATAAGAAATTTTCTGAAGTGTGTCCCATCAGCTTATCTTCAGGTAGCAGGCAAACAAAGTTAGTTAGCCCAGAATAGTCAGGATTTTATTTACTTAGATTTAATTTGACCTCCTCATTTGTGATCAGTGTGCCAGTTTATATCTCATTTCCTAATGCCTCCAACAATTCTGCTTTTGATATATTAACTAGTCTCTCTGCTTCCATCTTTGCTCCTTTTAAAGTCAGCTTTCTTGTTTTAATTTACATTTAATGATCCTGGCCATCAAACCCCAGGGCCTTATGGTTGCTAGCAAGTGCTCTACCACTGAGCCTTGTAGTCTGCCTTCTTGATGACCACCAGAGTAATCATTTGAAAGCCTGTGTTACTTTCAGTTCTAAAGTAAGTAAGGCCTAGGGATCTAATCTGTAGCATTGTAACAGTAGTTAATAACACTGTGTTGTGTACTTGAAATTTGCCAGGAGAGATTTTAAGGGTCCTTAACCTCCCCCTCAGATTATGATTGTCTATCTTTATGTATTAATTAACTTGATTGTGATAAACGTTTCTGTGTGTGTATATAAAATATCGCAGAGTACATTCTGAATATATGTGATTTATTTGTCAATTATACTTCAGTAAATCCAGAAGAAAGTAGCAGAAATCTGTTAGAGTAGTCTTTCCTTTGATCTAAACTTTCAGGGCTTTGCATTTCACTTAGAAGCCCAATTGCTAACAGTAGTTTATAGCACCCCTTGTGGTTTATCCTGTGGTTATTACCCCTTGGCCTCACTTCTGCTAATCTCCCATTCTTCAGTGGTTTGGGGCCACTCTGGCTCCCTGCCAGTTCTTTAACATGGCAAGCATCATAATCTTGCCTTATGGGCCTTTGTGATGGCCATATAGAAAGTTTTTCTTTAAAACTAGTATTTCTTCATAGTTTTCTTTCTTATCTTTCTTAAGTGTATGGTCAAATCTCACCTTCTCTGTGAAGATTACCCACTGTATAGTCCCATGTCTTTTGCCTCACTACCTCTCTCCTTTTCCTACTGTACTTTTTTCCCCCAGAGCACTTAAGTGCTTTCAAATTTACTATATAGTAAGTTTTTTATTATCTAAGCTCCACGAGTATAAGGCTCTATGTCTTTTTTATTCATTAGTATATTTTAAACTGCTAGAACAATAGTTGGCACAAATTAGTCACTCAAAAAGTTTGACTATGGATGAATAAAAGCATAATGAATTAATACTAGGCTGTTTATTTTACAATTTAATTTTTGGGATTATAAAGGTAGTCATGGAGTTTCTTTCCAAATTATAGCAGCTCTTGGATAGTTTTTGATAAGGCGTCATCAGGAAGATTGACCTTTACTGGAAAAGATGTACAGTTTTCATGCACCAGAAAAACCTCACCTTGATTGCTTACTATCATTACACAAGATAGCCTCAGCTTACTTGATCAAGGACATTTATTTACTATTTTGATTTGTACTTTCCATTAAAATTGAAACACTACAGCTATATATATTGTATATTATATGTACATGTTACATATGTATATATAATGTACATGCATATATAATATATGCATATATATGTTATGTATATATGGAAATTTGTATAATGGGATTCTTATAAGTTGTGCATGGAGAAATCCTTTTCCAATTCGAACCCATGTAATCTTTCTGTCTCAAGTGTTTCTTCTAATATACTTTCTCCTGTGCTTGAAGGTATTAGCAAATATCAGGAATGCAACTTTTTCTTCATTAGGTTCATGAAAGAAAGTTTTCTTTATGGCCCTGTCTTGAATCCTGCTCAGGGTGATTGACTTTCGTGTAGACTGTAGACCAAGACTAACCATCTTCAAGTTTTCCTTCTTTGAGAAAATCATTTGTAATATTCTAGAGACATTCTTTTCATTTGCAAAACTCTAGAGGTATTTTTCCTTTTAATTGGATAAACTGAAGGATCTTAGGAAATAATAACAGTAGAGTGGGATATACATATGTGTAGTGGGATATATTATATATACATATATATGTTCCCTGATTTCCAGTATTACTGTGTGTTTTCAACTTTTCTGCTCAGTTCTCCCTATGTTGAGGAGAAACACGCACACACACACACACACACACACACACACACACACAGTAGAACTAGAATGAGAAATGCAATCAGCTTCCCATATTCTACTCGATAGTCAACATTTTGTTCTCTTGTCATTGTGTCCCCTGTACTTCAGAAATGGAGGGCCT